AAAGGGACTAACTTGAGATTTCCGAACCAAAGTGGGGACAAAATTGGGTATTAAACCTATAAATTAATTATTTTTCAATTTTAATCCATACTAACTTTATTAAAATTAAATCAAGATACTTTTATATTTTTTATATTAACATATATCGTAAAATGTGTTATTTATACTTGTTGGTTACGGGTACTTTGATGGGCCTAGGTCCATTGGTCCAAATATTTGTCAGCTTATGAAGTATTATTGTTAATCATGAGTTACGGTGATTAAGCATCTTGTGTGATATTGTACTAGCCGAATAAGGATGAATCAAGTATATCTCGACTTAGTAGTGTGATATGTATTTGACCAAGGACAAGTCCTATACTGGTATGATTGAGAGATACTTGATTTATACAGTACACCAGTCCCCTTGGCTTTACATGTTACATGTTAAAGGCTTGCAAAGAGCTTCAACGTATCAATTATTGGTAGTCGATCTTAAATTTTAAATTTGTCGATCATGATATTGGTACTCGTTAGTTATCTTGCAAAGAAAATTTGTATCCTTGAATATATAATTCTATAGGTATAATACCCCAGTCTCAAGAAGTGCAACTATGAACATGTTGTAATGATGAAGTATCATATATGATGTGGCAAGGGAGATGAAGAGGCGTGGGAATGACGTTTTGCACAATAAATGATGCAATGCCTATACGGGATAGAGTTGCAACTTTTAACCTTCAATCTCCAAAGTACTTATCCTCCTCCTAAATGCTCGTTCTCTGGGTAAGGGTGTACTTGTAGAAAATGATCAAGTTAGCCGTCTCAAGAATCAATAAATGTGGTAATTAATGAAACATAATTAACATATCTTGTAATATGTGTTATTTATAGTTACTATTTATGAATATTTTCTTGGATTGGCTTATGTCCATTAACTCAAATACTTCTTAGCTTATGAATTATCATTGTTAATCATGAGTTATAGTAATCAAGTGCCTTGTGTGAAATTGTATTGATGAATCAAGAACATGTGGACTTAGTAGACTGACATGGATACAATCAATAATAAGTCTTTTATACTGATATAGCTGATAGGTATTTGATCATAGTGCAAAAATATTATTTTATAATAATTTTTCAATCTGGCTTTATTATTTTAAATATTTTTGTTGGTATGAAAACAATAAATAGTATAGTATTATTATAACATCATCACCGTCAATTTGATACAAAAACTAAATTAATTCATATTTAAATAAAATATATATATATATATATATTATAAATTGAAATAGAAAATAGTATAATTTATTATATAATATTTAATAAATAAATAAATATTTATCTATAATATTTATAACATCTGATTACATTTTGTTATGTAGATTTGTAAAGAAGAAAGAAGGAGACTAGTATCCCTCTCATGAAGAAGAAAGATATATTTCAAAGTTAATTTTACTAGTTTTCCTTGCTTTGAATTGGAAGCGGAAGATGCACTTAGAAAAAATGCGTTTGAAGTTGGAATATGGAGAATGCATATATGCACATAGTCAACAAAATCTTTATAAGTTGCAACTTTGACCTTGCAATTATTAAATTTATTTAATTAACATTTAATTTTTATTATGGAAAGTTGTACCTGAATATAAAGTAACTTTCTTAAAACCTTTTTAAATCATTAAGAACATTTTTAAACAGTTGAAATACAGATAATATATACAAACCAAATTTTAGTCTTTAAATTTATATAACTTATTTTTTAAAATATATTTGTAGAGAAAAAAGTGACTTATTGATTTTATTTATTTCACATGACACGTGTTAGGGTTTTGCCTCATAGCATTTTTGGTGTTTCCATAATGGTATCTATTATGCAATTAATTTGCATGCAATATGGAATGTAATTAATTTTAAATGAAATCAATTAGATCAAATTCTTTTAATTCCTAATTATTCAAACATATTCAGGTACAACTTTCCATAATAAAAACACACACATATGTATATATTGTGATGCAAATAGTTTTAATAAAACACACACATATGTATATATTAATTGCATTTAACTTTATATAGTTATTTTTATTTGATGTCATTGCCAAATAAATATTAAAAAATTTAGTTTGAAAATTTAATTATTATTTAAGTTCATGTAAATTTATAAAATTTTATCAAAAAAATAAATTTAAAAATTATTTTAAATTTTATAGGTTAATTATTTTTCAATTTTATAAATTAGTTATTTTTAAATTTTAATCCATACTAACTTTATTAAAATTAAATCAAGATACTTTTATATTTTTTATATTACCTAATTAATGTAATCTTTATATCACATTAATGAAATCCACTACCAATATTATTTTTTCACTTTTCTTTTGAACTTTCTCTTTTTTATCTAAATTCAAAGAACCCCCAATCTTTAATTACTCTCTTTCATCCAAATCCAAGAAAAAGATGTGAAATAAAATAGTAGCATCACTAGATTTTGATATGTGTAGGTGAAAGAGAAACGTACCAGTGAAATGTTGACTGAATCATATATAGAAAATGATTGGTGTGTTAGAAATTAAGTTATAAACTTGCCTGCAGTTGAAAGGTCAAGCAGCTATAACATCTAATGGCCCAAAATCTTCTACTTATATTTTCTGAGTGTTTTGAATTTTATATTATTCAATACATATAGTTTGTAACAGTACATTGTTTGACTTGGTTTTAAAATTGCTTAATGCTTGAGCCACACTCATAATTAACTTAATAAACCTTTTCTTGAGATCAGATTATGACTTCCTGAAAGCAATGGAACTGCCATTTAATAACATTACATTCTTTACCATGATTCATTGTGGGAGATTTAAAACTATGTTCAACTATTTTTAAAGGAAGAGATAACATTGGAAGACCATTGTTCTAAGCAATCTCTTAGTGGTTTTTACACGTTTTTTTAATCTTTATATGACATTGATAGCTACTTAGGATGAAATAATATGATTAAATAAATTCTATCCTAGCTCTAATATTACGATTAAAAAATATATTTTAAATTTCATTCAATCTCACAAAATTTACTTATAAAATAAAATTTACATTAATTTATATATTATAATTTTATCTTATTCATAATTGACCGTGAAACTTCTAATATCCATTAGATGAAATAAAGTGGTCCACGTATATACATAACTCTTTTACTTTATTTGTTATTCATTAACTTCATATTTAAATTTTTGAGTCAATTCTCTTCTTTACGGTCAACGTTAATCAATTGCTACATTTTTTATTTTAGTTTAGAGAATAAATTATTTTTACGTTTATTTAAAAGATTTAACTTTAACGTATTTATTTGACATGAATTTTAATTTTATATTTAGTTAATTTATTTCAATTTTACTATATAAAGATAAATTTATGACACAATAAAACTAACCCTCAATTTTTATGCGGGACGAACCTATTCCATGCAAGATAGGCCAATCCAACTCAAACCTAAAGGGATGGATGAATCTATTTTGTCATCCTATTTCAAAATATATTGATACTGACATATTAAAAAAAAAAATTTAAAACATCAATATCAAAGTTTAATAAATTTTTGAAGACACATTATGTAGAGAAAAAAAATTACTCAGATAATCTAAATTAGTTGTTGTAATCAACCTCAAAAAATTAAATGTTGGGGAATGTCATTTCCTTGAACTTTCATAAGCGTAGCTTTGTGCCTCATAAAGTTGTGGCCTACTCCAGTTAAGTTTCCTTTAATTGTTTGCTGTTTGAAATTTCTACACATTAAAAATGCCAGTTTGATGATTCCTTACACCAAACCACCCTATTTGCGTTTGACTTGACTATATTTTATAGCTTCTTTGCCTTTCATTTTCTCTCTCTTGCTCATCTTTCTCCAAAAAGCATTCTCTCTCTTTCTCTTTTACTCTTTCTTTGTTATCTTTCTCTCAAAGTCATAACAAGCATTCATGATTGCAAGCCTTTGATCTCCTTCTCTTCTCAGCACCAGCACAACCTCTTACAGGATCTTTGTGAGTATATAAACTTTTGGGGTATATGTATGTATATATATGTACGTATGTTCTTGCTATTTTGTTTGTATCTTGTAATATTGATTTCTTTCGTTTGTAATTACAGCCAGCACCAGATGAACATACCGGAATGGTGAATGAATTGAGCAGAAGTGATGATTTCGAGAAGTTCTCATGGAAAATTGAGGATTTCTCTAAACAAAATATCATGAAACTGCGCTCCAGGCCTTTCAAAATCCGTGGCTGTACATGGTACGTGAAGATGATAAACTTTAGACTGCTTCAGATTTGTGTTCTTTTCATAACCACATTACATAGGCTCAACAAATTGAAAACAAGCACTGAATAATCTCCAACAGCTAAAAGTTCCTTAACTGAACCTTATCCTTCACTTGATTTCATTGCTGTGATGAGAGAAAGATAATCAAGAGCCTTGTTTTGGAGAGTTTCTATGAATCAACCATGGGTTTTCATGATATCACAGGAGGATCCTTGTGCATCCATTGAGGAGTGATGTCAACCATTTTTCAGTGTATTTGATGGTTGCTGATTCTTTGCCTCCGTACGGATGGACCAGACACACGTTTTTCAAGCTGGTTCTGATCAACCAAGTGGACAACAGCAAAACAATTGAAAAAGGTACTTAAGTTTTCGAATTATGTGAGACTTTCTTTTGGAACAGCTTAACCAGAGACATAAAGACGAGGCTATAATACATAAGTGAAAACAAATTTCACTTCACAGTTTGATTTTGTAAGGTTAATTTAAGGTTAAAATCCATATTTTAGTATATGATATAAGAGATAAGACAAAGTCAACTAATGATATATAACTTAAAGCAGATTTTACCTTATAAGCCAATTTTGTGATATGTTGAATGATTCTTGTGATTTTCAGAGACCAAACAGAAGTTCAATGGAGGACATCGTTGCTGGGGTTCATTTTTCGTGAATCTAAGTGATTTCTACAACCATAACAAAGGATATCTTGTGAAGAACAGCTGCATCATTGAGGCACACATCTGCCTCTCGGATTTAGCACCCAATATTCAGGTTCACCCAAATTGTTCTCCATATCATGACTCTTCTTCATCAGGTGGTCAAGCAACAGAAACATCCTCGGATAGGGACAGCATTAGTCCGAGAACCTCCGGATCTAGTGCAGCAGAAGGGGAAACTCAAAAGGGTTGTTCAAACAGTTTGACACTGAGAGAACTCATAGATTTGAAGAGTTTAGCAGGAGAAGAAGAAGCCTTCATTCCACTTCTGGAAGAGGCTTGCACATGGCATCCAAACCTTATACAGTGCCAGAAGGAGAGAACTCGCGGATTCAGACAATGGGCATTCGCATCATTAGGCCAAGTTCTTTACTTTCTCAAGACCAAAAGGGTTAAAGATATGAGTGAAGAAGACATAAAGCATCTTCGTGATTTGTGGAAGGAACTTGTGAAATCGTCAGGGTTTGATTTGGAATGGCTGGAGCCTTATGTTGAATCAGCATTGGGTTTGAAAGCTTACATGGAAAAAGCAAAGCGGTTGAAGAAACTGAAGGACACTGTGGTTGGTTTGGAGATCAAGATGAAGAGACTGAGAGGGGAACTTGCTGCTGCTGAAAGATTGTTTGAGGTTTCAAGAAGAGAGTTATCAGAAGTAAGAAGAGGTTTCAATGAGATGGATATGAACTCTACAATTGGATATGCTATGTTTTAGTGCAAACTGTTTGATGTGTATATGATTCTGGTGAACTAGTTTTTGATGAAGCTCATGCCATGCACAAAGTTCAGTTCTAGATTAGTACAAATTATGTACGAATAATATTAGTGCCTTTTTTTTATTATTATTATTATTTTCAAAAATAATTTCTTGTTTTCTTTATTTTATATTTATTGGGTTCATAATTAGGATCATTTTTTTTATTGTATTTTCTTGATGNTAAATAAATTCTATCCTAGCTCTAATATTACGATTAAAAAATATATTTTAAATTTCATTCAATCTCACAAAATTTACTTATAAAATAAAATTTACATTAATTTATATATTATAATTTGATGTTATTCAACGTAAAACTTCTAATATCTATTAGATGAAATAAAGTGGTCCACGTATATACATAACTCTTTTACTTTATTTGTTATTCATTAACTTCATATTTAAATTTTTGAGTCAATTCTCTTCTTTACGGTCAACGTTAATCAATTGCTACATTTTTTATTTTAGTTTAGAGAATAAATTATTTTTACGTTTATTTAAAAGATTTAACTTTAACGTATTTATTTGACATGAATTTTAATTTTATATTTAGTTAATTTATTTCAATTTTACTATATAAAGATAAATTTATGACACAATAAAACTAACCCTCAATTTTTATGCGGGACGAACCTATTCCATGCAAGATAGGCCAATCCAACTCAAACCTAAAGGGATGGATGAATCTATTTTGTCATCCTATTTCAAAATATATTGATACTGACATATTAAAAAAAATAATATTTTTTAAAACATCAATATCAAAGTTTAATAAATTTTTGAAGACACATTATGTAGAGAAAAAAAAATTACTCAGATAATCTAAATTACTTGTTGTAATCAACCTCAAAAAATTAAATGTTGGGGAATGTTATTTCCTTGAACTTTCATAAGCGTAGCTTTGTGCCTCATAAAGTTGTGGCCTACTCCAGTTAAGTTTCCTTTAATTGTTTGCTGTTTGAAATTTCTACACATTAAAAATGCCAGTTTGATGATTCCTTACACCAAACCACCCTATTTGCATTTGACTTGACTATATTTTATAGCTTCTTTGCCTTTCATTTTCTCTCTCTTGCTCATCTTTCTCCAAAAAGCATTCTCTCTCTTTCTCTTTTACTCTTTCTTTGTTATCTTTCTCTCAAAGTCATAACAAGCATTCATGATTGCAAGCCTTTGATCTCCTTCTCTTCTCAGCACCAGCACAACCTCTTACAGGATCTTTGTGAGTATATAAACTTTTGGGGTATATGTATGTATATATATGTACGTATGTTCTTGCTATTTTGTTTGTATCTTGTAATATTGATTTCTTTCGTTTGTAATTACAGCCAGCACCAGATGAACATACCGGAATGGTGAATGAATTGAGCAGAAGTGTTGATGATTTCGAGAAGTTCTCATGGAAAATTGAGGATTTCTCTAAACAAAATATCATGAAACTGCGCTCCAGGCCTTTCAAAATCCGTGGCTGTACATGGTACGTGAAGATGATAAACTTTAGACTGCTTCAGATTTGTGTTCTTTTCATAACCACATTACATAGGCTCAACAAATTGAAAACAAGCACTGAATAATCTCCAACAGCTAAAAGTTCCTTAACTGAACCTTATCCTTCACTTGATTTCATTGCTGTGATGAGAGAATGATAATCAAGAGCCTTGTTTTGGAGAGTTTCTATGAATCAACCATGGGTTTTCATGATATCACAGGAGGATCCTTGTGCATCCATTGAGGAGTGATGTCAACCATTTTTCAGTGTATTTGATGGTTGCTGATTCTTTGCCTCCGTACGGATGGACCAGACACACGTTTTTCAAGCTGGTTCTGATCAACCAAGTGGACAACAGCAAAACAATTGAAAAAGGTACTTAAGTTTTCGAATTATGTGAGACTTTCTTTTGGAACAGCTTAACCAGAGACATAAAGACGAGGCTATAATACATAAGTGAAAACAAATTTCACTTCACAGTTTGATTTTGTAAGGTTAATTTAAGGTTAAAATCCATATTTTAGTATATGATATAAGAGATAAGACAAAGTCAACT